TAGCCATCTATCTGTCTATCCGTGTACGCCTGACTATGGAATATGCATGCACTGTATATGTATGTCTGTTTGTTGCTGTACGTCAAATAGCATCACGCGACATCAAAGCCGTTGATGATGCTTTGTTAGAGCTAGGCGGCATTGTAGTATAATAAGACATGCCATATACATCTACCATCGTCCTCGCTGCCTCTTGATAAAACAGTTATATTCACTTTTGCCTGAACATGTCTCCTCTACTCTGGCAAGTTGATAGTGAACTTTGCTTGGCTCGCTTTGCTAGTAAAAAGGCTGAATTTCCCATCTCCGTCTCACCCTTGCAAGGGAGCAAGCAGACAACAGACAACAGCATCAGCCAGCAAACTCCAGGAGCAGAGAAGAGACGAAGAAAAAAAGGAGGAGGATAAATAAGATATATCTCATGCTGTACGCAGTGTAGAGCACCACGGCCTACTCTTCTCGCCGGCCTGCTTTACCCAGGCCAGGCGACCTCCCTGCCTCCTACCAAGCAGCAGCCATCAAACGGCCATCTTCACGGCCAAACCACGGTATTACCAACACAGCCCATCCCAACAGATATTCCCGTCCGTTAGACAAGCAACTGGAGCCCCGAAAGCGAGCTGACCGCCGCTGGTGGTCTAGGATGGGCTCCCTCGGTGCCAGCCCGTCTCTCACGGCCACCATCAACGACACCCCCATCGATGACGAGGAGATAGGCCTCACCCCCCAGCAGCGACGGCACAAGCAATGGCGCGCCAGGAAGAGACAGCAGCGTGAAGAGCTCGACAGCATGGTGCCAAACAATGCTCTACGCATGGCGGACCAGGCGGTGGTGAAGAAGCTGGCCATCAACGCCCTGTTCATTGGACTCTGGTACTTCTTTGCCGTATCAATATCCCTAGTACGTCTAGCTCCTTTACTATCCCCTTGCCTATATGTTTTGCTTGATATCAAATGCTGACTACCGGTAGTATAACAAATGGATGTTTTCGCCAACAAACCTCAATTTCAAGTTCCCGTTGTTCACCACCAGCCTACACATGCTCGTTCAGTTCATCCTCGCCTCCATACTGCTCTACTTTTTCCCCTCTCTGCGGCCGCCGTTGAACAGCCCTGATGCAGCTCCGGGAAAACCCAGCAAGCCCTCGCTAACACCGATCTTCTATCTTACTCGTCTCGTGCCATGTGGGAGTGCTACTTCACTAGATATCGGGCTGGGCAACATGTCCCTACGCTTCATCACTCTCAGTTTCCTCACCATGTGCAAGTCCTCTGCCCTGGGCTTTGTGCTTCTCTTTGCCATCATCTTTGGCCTCGAAACTCCCTCCATAAAGCTCATCCTAATCATATGCACCATGACACTGGGCGTGGTCATGATGGTGGCTGGAGAAGCGTCCTTTCACGCCGTTGGGTTCGCCCTAATAATTGCTTCGTCCTTTTTCTCTGGCTTCCGATGGGCTCTCACTCAGATTCTCCTGCTTCGGCACCCATCTACGTCAAACCCGTTCTCGACCCTCTTTCTGCTTACTCCCATCATGTTTGTCTCCCTCCTCGGAATTGCACTCGGCGTCGAGGGATACAATGAGATCCTCGCTGGTATCCAGAATCTCTCTGCTGAACACGGGACTTTCAAGGTATTGTGCTTCCTTTCTTTCCCCGGAATGCTAGCCTTTTGCATGATATCCTCTGAATTTGCTCTTCTTCGACGTTCTTCCGTTGTCACACTGAGTATCTGCGGTATCTTCAAGGAGGTCATCACCATTGCTGCAGCAGGTATCTTTTTCAAGGAAGTGCTCAGTCTGGTCAACATCATTGGTTTGATCATCGCCATTTCAAGCATTGCCTACTACAATTACATGAAAGTCACCAAGATGCGCAAGGAGGCGCTTTCGGAGAGAGAAGGGGTTGACGATGAAGAGGATGACGGGTATGAGAGTCCAGGTCCCAGCTCTGGCCTCATGGACGATAGCCATGGTCACGGAAACCCCCCTCCTGTACAAAATGGCGCCTTGGGTGGACTGGTAGACCAGATAAAATCCGCCTTTGGCAACAAGCGCAGCATATCTGGCCCTCGATACCAACCTATGCACACCTCTGCGGAGCCTTGACTGGATAGCTCAAAATCACCGCGGTGTTGCACACCCCGTATTGTGCTGCAAAACTGTCCCCTATGTTAGACAAGCTCTCACACAATACCCTTCATTTTGGACCCATATCCCTGGCCCCGGGCCGGCCCCAGCTTTGCGGATTGGAGGTAGAAGATAATACCCCTTCCCTTAATAATATTGTTTGTCTTAATACAGTGGTATCGTTTCCTGGTCACATGTGAGACCAGGCAGACAGACAAAAAGACATTGTTACCGTATATATACTGGCTATGTTACTTTTGTATCTCGACTTCTGTACAGACAGTACAGTTCACTCCAGGTGGCGCGCGTTATGTTTCCCTACTTAGATACGTTTGGCTATGAACCTTACCCACTTTGGCATGTTATATCTCGGTTTCTACTCTGCTTAATTCTTAATTACTCGATAGGCAGGTTTGGCCTTGTATTCCGGCAGCAATATAAACTATTGGACGAAGTGGTTGTTGGTTGAGTGTGGTTGTTTCACATTAAAATTACAACTCTGCATATCAATTCGAACCCATCACCAACGTTATCAATTCTCTATCAGTTCTAAGTGTATTCGAACGTCACAGTCTTAATGACGAAATCAATTCTTCAACTGCTTGCAGGCAGAGACACACCAACTATTCCAATCAGAGAAGAAAGACGCTTGGACATGACACTTATTGCTCAGTAGCTGCTTCTTCCTTGTATCAGCATAGATATCCACGATTCCTGAGACAGACTCCTTATCATGAGCCACAAGCACCTTCACAAGAAGCAGACTTGCTTGGCTACACGACGCAGTATGTGGGCCAGACGCACTACGCATCGCCTCAGAATGGACCTCTCGAAGCATACCCCAAACAGCCTCGTCAGTTTCGACTTCGGGTACAGCTGGACCCTTGCAGAGCCGAGTATACTCCCGCAAAACATTCGCCGTTTTCTGCACAAGTTGCTGAACACTCGACCTCCGCGATAACTGCAAGAGCGGAACGACGATATCCAGCGCCAGGGGCTTGGAGTAGCATTTCTTGACATATATCTCCAGTAGATCGAGCACTCTGTTCTTGAAGTTGATCATAGTTTCTTTGGCGTCCTTTTTATCCTTCTTCTTGTTTGAGGCTTGTTCGCGGGCCTGGAAGACCTTGACAAGTTGGGCATCTAGAGCCTCCATGTCATCATCTCCCATGTCGGAACCATCATCTGATCCATCGGATGCTTCAAGGTCTTTGTCTGCGCGATGAGTCCCCAGTGCAGCAGCGAGTTTGGTATCGAATTCAGCTAGGTTTTGCTCATTCTCCTCGTCTTCTTCGTCTTCCTCTTCATCTTCACCTTCTGACTCGTCTGATGCGGAGGCCGATTTACCGTGAACAATCTCAACGTCAGAACCGTCAACCATTTCGACGTCACTATCCATTTCGTCATCGTCTTCTTCTTCGCCTTCATCTTCATCATCATTTCTATCAAATAGCTCCTGTTGGCCCGCTAGGCTTTCCTTTGCATCGAGGATCTATAGCAATTAGCTCATGTCGAAACTACATATATAGAACAGGGCTTACCGCAAGTAGAGACTGAAGGCCTGTAGGGGTCAGCTTGTCTGCGAAAGCTCCAAATACTTGCTCACTCATCTTTCGGAATAAATGAGATGGTTTCGAAGCAAAGCTGAGCAGTATTTCAACCAGTGCGTCAGAAGCTTCCCCGCTTTCTTCATCGTTAGATTTCTTGTGGCTTAAGAACTTGTCATAACACATCTTGAGCTCATCCAGCATTGACACTGCGTCCGCATCTCCGTTGTATACTTGAAGTATTGTCAAGGAGTATAGCAGCTTAAGCCCCTGAGCAGCCTGGTCATGCTGTTCACCCTCCTGTTTACTCTGTAATAGATTAGCTGGATATCTAGACACGGTGAGAAAGGGTAGATGTACCTTCTTGTTAATCTTCTTGAGTGTCTTGAATGCAGAATGGACGGATTCAGATATAGTGTCACTCATATCGATGATGGATTTGCCTGAGTCTCCAGTCTCCTCCATGTCTCTAATTTTCTGGACAACCTTGTATGCAATATCAGAGGGCCGTTTCTGGTTGCTGATGATAATATTCAGAGAAGCCATGATTTTGTTTCTGAACAATTCCCTGGTAGCATCACTGATAGGAGGCTTAGCCGTATCACTTGAAAAGTAGGTGTACTTCGCAAGAGTGAGGATGATCACCTGAACAGCTGAATCTAGTTCATCGGAATCATCCTCCTTAGCAGATGTCATAAAAGATTTGATGATGGTCTGCAGGAAGTTAGCAATGAGCTGACGTCTGGAGGCCGCTGCCTTGTCATCAGCTTCTGAGTGGACGATCAGGCCTTCAAAAAACGGCATAAGCTGATTGATTGCGGTATGAGATACATCGGCTACAATCTTCTCGACAATCTTGACTTTGGTAATCTGGTCAAAGTTGACTGCACCCCTGGGTCCCATAAGGCCGCATAAGGCAGGATATGCAAAGTCCGGCTCCTTGGAGGTACGAGCCTGTATCGACTTTGCAGCCTTGACAGCAATCTTATGCAAGTATCTGTCTTCAACGGCAAGCTGGTTCATCAAACAGCGCATAAAATTTTGCGTGAAGATCTGACTGGCTACTTCCATGGGTGCTTCGTTGAGGACCTTCATGAAAACGAGGAAACCCCAGTACTTGCGTTCTTCTGATGAAGCGGCAGCAAACAATCCGCCTAGATACATGTTAATATGGTTTGAGACCCGTAAAACTGGAGGGTCAACTCACAGTCAACGACTTCGGTCCAAAAGTCGAGAAAGGACAACTGTGTTGCCTTATCTTTTTTCCCCTTGCCCTTGACTTGGCCCTTTCCAACAGCCGTAGAGTATAACTTGGTGAGAATTGGGTCCCATGCAAAAGGGAGCTTCGGGTTCCAAACCCCAGAGTTCTTGACCTTCAACTCTTCACCGTTAGAAGCATCCTGGCCGGAGGACTCTTTCATAATTTTAGCCAAAGAAGCCTTCTCGCGCGAATTCAAAGGGTTATCGTAACTCCAAACACCAGAAGGAAAGACAACTGGTGGAGAACATGACAGGTCCATAGCGGCCAGCCAGATTGCGATACCCTCGGGGGTTTTAGCAAGATTATTCCCGCATAGGGCAGCAAGAGCAGAGTCGACATATTTCGTGCTCCGATTTCGTGCGCCGATATCCCGAATAGCGTAGAAAATGATATATCCACACTCTTCTCTCAGCCATGGCTTCTTGTTGGCCAACTCAAACACTAGAGAGAGCAGTCTAGTCCAGTTCTCAAACGGGACATCAGGCAGGAGCAGAATAGAGCTTTTAAGAATAGCTTCTGCGCCGAACAACCTACCAAAATGGTGGTCTCTTTCTTCCTTTTAGGGAATTAGCAGTCTGGATGAAAAATTGGCGAGGGGCATTCACACCTGTCCAGACTCGGCACTGGTAGTATTTGTGTTCGACTCAAGAAGGTCAATTGCCTTGGATACGTCCCATCCTGCAAGACCACACTTTTGTTCATCCTCAGCGTGACCAAAGAGTATAGAAAGCAGCTCCGTCAACGCAATTGAAAACCCGAGCCTTGCAGCTTTGCGGCTGCTACATAGGCCCCTGAACAGCCGCAAAAGAGCTTTCTCAACATCTTCCGGCGCTGGATTCGCTTCTGGTGTAAAACGCGAGAGCAGCTCACCAGCAGCTTTGAGTCTGATTTCATCATTCTCGTTGCTCAAGTCATCGTAAATTTCTACAAGTTTGACGTCCACATTGACCTTTTCGCGGCGGCGTTTCTTGGGATTGGAGGACGACATCACGTATCTATGTCAAACTTCCCCCCTGATATACCCCCAACGGCTTTTCCAGGCGCCTTTATGTGTTTTATCAAGCTGGAAGTTGATTTTGATATCTTCAAAGTCGAATTTTTGCTTGAAATCTTCGTTGCCCAACACGGTTAGCGTGAATGCGGCTCTTTTGGGTTTAGCGCCTGAACTCATATAAATGAACAAAACATCCGTACGACAGCATTATTTGGTAGATGATGTATGATATTGGGCCCTTGGGAAGAGAAAAGGGTTTTAGTGGTTATTGATGGAAGTAGAAGTGCTATATACTGGTATTTGTGGTATCGTTGATATGTTTGTATGTTGGCGTGTTGTTAGCATATGAGAGGCTCCCAGCTCACAGCAGCAGCATTCATGGCATGGTAAAATTCACTATCTCAGAGCAATCGAGATGACTTTAATACAGTAGAATGAAGCCATTGGCAGCTATCATAAGCAGTATTCCAAAGAAAGCATATTACCTCGCTACCTACTACATATTGAGTCCGGTGTTAACTCCGGCAAAAGGTCCCGAGATCGACGATATAACCGTGACACATCCAGACATCGATCGAATACGGACACAAACCTACGAAAGATAAATATGCCAGGACAGAAGAAATATCGGATTGCCTCGATACCCGGCGACGGAATAGGCCCTGAGGTGATTAGTGCTGGGATAACGGTGTTGAAGAAGCTGGCCTCGTCTCTGGGCAAGTTTGAGCTGGACTTTGAGACCTTCGACTGGAGCAGCGAGTACTACAAGAAACATGGCAAGTACCTGCCGGACGATGCCTTGACTACGCTGAAGAAGTTCGATGCCATACTCTTCGGGGCCGTGGGGGCGCCCGGTAAGTAGCTACGATACCTAAATTACCATGGCACCAGGTTAACCAGGTAATGGAGAATGTGATGTGATACTAAGCCAAGATGATAGATGTGCCTGACCATATATCACTCTGGGGCCTGAGACTGGCTATCTGCCAACCCCTGCAACAATATGCCAACGTACGACCAACAAAGGTCTTCCGCGGCACCAAGTCCCCCCTTCGAGCCTGCTCGCCGGGGGAACTGGACTGGGTGATCATCCGCGAGAACTCCGAGGGCGAGTATGCAGGTCAAGGAGGCCGCAGCCACGCCGGCCGGGCCTGGGAGACAGCAACGGAGGTATCGATCTTTACTCGACACGGAGTGGAGCGAATCATGCGATTTGCGTTTGAGACGGCGCAGAGTCGAGAGAGGAAGCTGCTGACGGTCGTGACGAAGAGCAATGCACAACGTAATGGGATGGTGCTCTGGGACGAGGTGGCGGCCAAAGTAGCCGCGGACTACCCAGACGTGAAGTGGGAGAAGATGCTGGTGGATGCGATGACAGCTCGGATGGTGTTGAAGCCACGGAGCCTGGATACGATTGTAGCTACGAACCTGGTACGTCATGGTTCTCCAGAGGCCCCTTGTTGCACCAAATGCGTCATACATGGACGGAGGCAGCTGATAGTGACTGCCCCAGCATGCCGATATTCTATCAGATCTGGCGGCGGCCCTGGCAGGCTCCATTGGAATAGCACCCACGAGCAACCTTGACCCGACACGCGAGAATCCATCGATGTTCGAGCCCATCCACGGCTCTGCATTCGACATAACCGGGAAAGGCATCGGTATGTTATGTGTTTTATGTCCCATCCAAGGCCAACAACTCCAGCACCAACTCCAACTCATTCCCTGTTTGATATCATTCAACTTGACTTCCTAAGTCACTGTTTCTTGTACTCCGTCAGCTTGCTAACAACCGAACAAGCCAACCCCGTAGCAACCTTGTGGACGGCATCAGAGATGCTACGGTGGCTCGGGGAGAAAGAGGCGGCCGCTCTGCTGCTGGAGAGTGTCGAGGCCGTGTGTGAGAAAGGAGTGGCCACGCCAGACTTGGGAGGCCAGCAGACCACCGCCGAGGTGACCAGCGCCGTATGTGAGGAGATTGAGGGCCGGTTGGGGAGGTAACTGTTTTGGCAAACAGCTAGGTTGAGGATACATTGGACGGTGTATTATTGAGTAATTGAGTATGATCGATGGGCCTAGTAATGAATGTCCAAAGAGTGAGGCGGCCGTCCGTCTTTGTCTAGCCCCTTATATATCATCCTCCTTTGTACGTATCAACGCTTGTAAAATAAGGGCCCTGGTGGAACTGGTCAGGGCTTTATATTTCATGTAATATTATGGCCATCGATGGGTCGCAGGCTTCAAAATAAAAAACTCTGCAAGCAGCATGATTTGAATATTGAATGAAACACGCTGGAAGAAGCAAAATGGCGAGACAGGTCAGAGGAAATCTCCGATCAATGGCGTCCGGGAGAAAAAGAAACCCCATTCCCTCATCCGTATCAGCATCAGCCCGTAATATTAATGAGAGTAGTAATATCAATTGACCGTCCTGTATCCGTATAGCTGCAGTGTTAAGGAGTTACACCGTTGCCCAGGCAAGTTTCCCCTGCGTCTGCTAGAGCGCCGATGCGGAGGCCCGAAGCCCATGGCAACCACGAAAGAAAACCGCCGCGTATCAAATAGTCTCGTACTTATTGTATTTATCATTTCCGTCTATCTGGGCTGGTTTTATGTCTTTTTTTTGCATCTTTTCCGGTCGTTTTATGTCTTTATTTTGTGTTATTTTCGAGATGTTTTTTTTTTTTTTTTTTTTTTTGAATGGATCACGTGGTTTCGTGTTATTCTCTTTTTTTTTCTGTTTGTTTCGTTTTTGGCGCGAAGAAAAAGACGAGACGAAGAAGAAGAAGAAGCGAAAGGAAAGAGAAAGACGGAGATGGAGATGGAAAAAGGGCTGTCGGGGTGGCAGCGGTGCGGTCGAGGGGAAGTAAGATGTAGGGCTGAGCAACGAGAGGGTGAGCGAGGCGACTGATGGGGATGCTATATCCAAGACAGACGGACTGGAAGACGGGCAACGTTGAGGCCGCAGATGAAACGGCCATGACATCAAACCCAAGTAGGGCAGAAGCCGGGGAGAGAGGATCAAGGGGGGAAAAAGCTGCGAGCTGCCAGGAACATAAGCTGAGGGCTGTCTTCCATGGGGCTTCTGGTGCGTCTTCTTTGCCTCTCTGGCTGGATCCCCCAAGCTAATCCTCTCTCCAGGCGAGCATCACGACTGACTTGTGTAGAGTAATCAGAAAATCCACACACCAGAGGCTTTCGGGGCTTTCAGAGCTTACAGGTCTTTTCACAGGCTTTCCCCCCACCGTGACAAAAGCAGGGATGAAGGGCGCCTCTGCGACTAGCGAGCTCTACGGTCTCGCCGATCGGGGACATCCTCCGCTATTCGTCATATTTTTGGGGATGGACGAACGGAGCAGATGGAGCTCTCTTTGCTCTGTATTTTTTTTTTTTTTTTTTTTTTTTTTCGCCGCTCGCTTCTCTTTTTTGCGAGAGAGGAGAAAAAAGGAATGCGAGATGTCACCGGCGGTTAGCCTGGCCATTGACATCCTTCCGTTTGATGTTGCCAATGCAGTCTACGATGTGATATGATATGATACTACAGAGGATACGCCTGATATGCCCGTACGGGCAGAGTAATATAACAACAATAATAATAACCCCTCGAGACGGGCATCACTTTGGCCTGCTTGGACTCAAACTGCAACAAGACTTGGCACTGGCAAGGGAGGGATTGTTCTTGTGACCTCGAATCGATGACGATGATCTCCAACCGCGGGGCTGAGAATAGAAACCTTAGAAGGCCCATCGTCAGGGATGCCCCTCGCTGGAGCGAGTTGAGCAGCGTGTGATGTGCTGGGGAGGGTCGACAGGAACCGACTTCAATCCCTGCGGCTTAAGTGGCCACACTAAGCATAAATGATGCCAATGCTCTTGGGCTGAGGGGAGGGGGGAATGTGAATGGAGGCTGACGAATAGTGAGCTCCAATTTCTGGCTTGTCAAACTTCGGGGGCCATCTCTCTCGTTGCTCTCTTCGGGGATTCTGCTGTGGCATGCATGCGTGAGTTGATGCAGCAACCATGCAACGAAAGGAAGAGGGGATGCATGGAACTAAACCGAGCCAGGCCATGGAACCAACAATTGTACAAATATAGCAAAGCAGCAGCAGAGACCAAAGAGGAGAAAGCAGAAGAGCCGGAAAAAGCAACGAGAGGAGGAGCTGCAAGAAAGTTGTCCAGCTGGCTTCTCAACTCTATTTCGCGGCTGGCTGCCCTGGTGATACGAAGCGCTAATGACTCCCTGTTCGTGAGGAGGCCCAATAAGACCAGATCTCGCACTGTCCCGATTGACTTTTCTTCCTTTTTGGCTTCCTTTTTGCTTCTTCGAGTTTCGCTCAATCCTTCCGGGGAACGGATGCGATGCGAGTGTCTGGCTGGCTGGCTGGCTGGCTGGAGGAGGTAACCTGACGTCCGGGACCCGAGCATGGATGCATCTCGATATACAATTTGTTGCAGCAGACGAGGGGGTCTAGCATCCAACAGCAGCAATAATAATAGTTCGCAGCGGCAGAAGAAGAACCAAGAGGAGTTACGGAGTTAAAGAGACAAGAGATCGAAAAGAAAAAAAGAGGAGAACACTGGAAATAGCGCGTGTGTTTCCAAAACATGCAAGAGAGGGTGGAGTGTTGGGCGGTCCAGGGCCAACAGGGAAGAAGCCTGCTACCAGGACAACTGGTGTTACCCGGTGACAGCGATGGCAACGGAGTCGGAGTTTGCATCGCTGCTCTCTCACCAGGGGGCGGGGGGAGAATTGAATTCAATGGCTCTGTGCCCCTTGCGTACCGACTGAATCGGATGCTGAACCAGTGGCACGGAACCTCCATTTTGTGGTAGGCATGTAAGACTCGATAGTTGGAGATCGAGAATGAGGAGAATCGAGGCATTGAGGGCCCAAGAAACGAAGGAGAATGACCTGCATGAAATTCTTTGATGCGGCCATCCAGATCCATCCATATCCTTGGTTTTTTATTTTTTCCCTTTTTGGCTGTGCCTTGTGCCTTGGACCGGTCGTTACATACAGAGTATCCGCTGTCCGGTTACATGGTGGTATAGTTAGTTACCATGGTATCTATGGAGCACAGAATACCAGGTTACTCCGGCTACCAGACGGACGTCCTCCACCCGGACAGGACATGACCACGGAGGCCTCCATCGCTGCCGGGACAGCAGCAGACAGAGAACGGAGGACGAGGGAGGAGCCATCGGACCAGATCTCTGTGCCGCACGGTTTTGCTGTCAGCGAACGGTCTGTACATCGTCGACAGCTGCACCCGGGTCCCCTGAGCCAGGCAGGAGATCTACCACAGCCGTACACACATCCAGGAGGAGGGCGGGAGGATGCAGGACAATACTGTATGACGATATATGCCGTATCTCCCCCAGTACCAGTAATAAATATATATTATATATATATACACATACGGATACAATACACATCTCGCCGTCCGCCTGGTTGTTTGTATGTATGCAGCGGCTCCCATGGCTCGCCGCAGATCTCTTTATCACCATCAGAAGCCAGCGAGCTCCATCTATAGCCACCAGCTTATGACCACAGCTCCAGATCTAAGTAGGCACTGCTGTAGCAACATCGACAGCCCTGTAAACAAACAGCCAGGTCAGCCTTACGCTGGCCTCCAACTAGCAAGCAGCCCGGCCGCTCGCCTGTGATGGAGGATGCAGTAGCTCGTCTAGCAGGGCGGCAAGCAGCGCTGCGATGCGAGGGCGATGCGTCGGATTGGCTGCAGCGATGGCCAGGTACCCCGGCCCTATGCAGCGGTACTTATTTTCTGCGGGCGATCACCGCCAAAACGCAAGTACCTTGCCATGGCTGCTGGGTAGCTCTGCATAGTTCCACCCCGTACAAAACATACCTCGTGCATAGTTCAGTTATTTACATACAAAAAGGATACCGAAAAGGAACTTTTACTTTATAACCTTCGTCCTCTTTTTTCTTTTCTTTTCTTTTCCCTTTGATGCTCCTCTTCTTTTTTGCATAAACTTCCAGCTGGCCGTTGCCCATTTGCAACAGACGGTACAGCGTCTTCTTTTTTCTCTTCGTTGTCTTCTCTTCAGATCTCTTCTTCTTCTTCTTC